GATGGTGGTGGTGGTGGTTTGGTGGTGGTCGTTGTGGCGGTGGTGGGGTAAGATTGCGGTGGTGGTGGTGGTTGTGGTGTGGTGGTTGTGGTGGCAGTGGTGGTGGTAGTGGTTGTGGTGGTGGTGCTGGTGGTGGTGGTTGTGGTGGTGGTGGTTTGGCGCGGTCGAAGTGGTTGTGGTGGGAGTTGTTGGTGGTGATGGTGGTGGTGGTGTGGTGGTTTGTGGTGGTGACTGTGGTGCTGGTGGGTTGCGTTTGTGGTGGTAGCGGCGGTGATTGTTGTGGTGGTGGAAATGTGGTGGTTAGTTGTGGTGGTGGTGGTGGTGGTGGGTGGTGTTGGCGGTGGTGGTGGTGGTTTGGTGATCGTGTGGTGATGGTTGGTGGTGGTGGTTGTGGTGGGTTGTGGTGGTGGTGGTGGTTTGGCTGTGGTGTGGTGGTGGTGGTGGGTTGTGGTGGTAGCAGCTGTTGGGGAGTTGGTGGTGGTGGTGGTTGCGGTGGTGGCGGTGGTGGTGGTGGTGTGGTGGTTTGTTGTGGTGGTGGTGATGGGTTGTGTTACTGGTAGTGGTGGTGGTTGTGGCGGTTGTGGTGGTGTGGTAGATTGTGGTGGTGGTGGTGGCAGTGGGGGGGGGTTGTGGTGGTGGTGGTGGTGAGTTTTGGTGATGGTGGTTGTGGTGGCGGTGGTGGCTGTGGTGGTAGTGGTGGTTGGTGGTGGGTTGGTGGTGGTGGTGGTGATAGTGGGTTGAGGTGGTGGTGGTTGTGGTAGTGGCGGTGATGGTGGTAGTCGTGGTATTCGTTGCCGCGCCCCCGCGGTCCGCGCTGCTGGCCGCCGCCTGCGCCGGCGCCGGCGCCGGCGCGGGGGGGTGGGTTGAACGCCCCCCTGGTTCTGATCGACGGCGCCGAGTGTTGGGGGGGGCCGCCCCCCAGTTCTTCACCCGCCGCCGAATGTTTCCAGGGCAAGCGCCCGTGAAACGCGCTCGCGCGGTGTCTCTCTCTCTCTCTCTCTCTCCCTCTTAGGATCACAAAGCGACGAATAACAACAACTCTTTGATCGCATTCATACATTTGTGTTGAACGAAGCCTCGTCGCCCGCGTCACGTGCCTCAAAAGCCTGTGGAGCTGAGCGCCGAGGCCCCCCCCCCGGCGGCTGCGCGCGGTCTCTCAATGGGGCGGGCGAGGACCGAGAATCGATCTGCCATGGGGATCGCCTGGCCGTCGTTCCTGGGCGGGGTGATGAGAGCGCTGGAAAAGTGGAAGCATGGGATTCTAATCCAGCCGCGACGGACACCGAACATGTCGAAGAGCCCGAGGGGGCCGTCGGGGCCACGTGGGTCTCCCACGCAGCGTCATTCCGCATTTTCCAACAACGGGGTAAGCAATTCTGAGTGCCGTGATGATACCTCCCTCTCCTCCTCCTCCTCCTCCTCCTCCTCCTCCTCCTCCTCCTCCTCCTCCTCCTCCTCCTCCTCGTGCCCCCCCCTTCCCCCCCGAATCGGTGGCCCGAGTTTCGGCCGCGTTCGCAGGACAGCGTCTGGCCATTGAGTGCCTGCCTGTCTCGTACCTTTTGCATTGCACCGACGGCTGTCGACGCGACAAGTGGCGAGTTGCTCTTTGGGTGTTCGCGTCCCCGAACAAACATGTTGAAGAGCCTAGCCGGAGCAAGATTTTGAATCCGACCGTGAAGCCACAAGAACAGACGACAAAACCATACACAGACGACGACGCAACATGGGGCCGACGACGAAACAAGTAAGGCCGACGATGACAAATTGAAATCGACGATACATTCGAACGACTTAAAAATGCGAACGAGAAAAAAGGCGGGCGAAACAAATCGCTGGCGGTGCCAGGCCGCGATCACATCCGCAGTGGCGACGACGAAATGCTATCGGAAGACGTGCGACAAAAAATACGGCAGTCTCATTCACATTGGAAAGAGCGTGTTCTACCGCTGCTGGCGGAAAACCGGGGGGGGCCACTACCGGTTCGAACGCCCCCCCCCCAGTCCATTGTGAAAAGGGGGGGGGGGGTCACTACCGGTTCGAACCCCCCCCCCCCCCCCCGAAAAACCGGGGGGGGGGGTCACTACCGGTTCGAACCCCCCCCCCTCGAAAACCGGGGGGGGGTGCGGACAGTGGTGGGGACAGTGGTGAGGGGACAGCGGGACAGTGGTGGGGACAGTGGGACAGTGGTGGGGACGGTAGTGGTGGCGACAGTGTTGAGGACAATGGTGGGAACAGTGGGGACAGTGGGACAGTGGTGGGGACGGTGGTGGTGGGGACAGTGGTGTGGGGACAGTGGGAATGTGGTGGAAACAGTGGGACAGTGGAGGGGGTACAGTGGTGGTGGGGACAGTGGTGAAGGCGGTGGCGAGAACGGCGGTGGGACAATGGGACAGAGGTACAATGGGGACAGTGGTGGCGACAATGGGGGCAGTGGTGGGAACAGTGGGACAGCTCAGTGGGACAGCAGAGGAGTCAGTGGGACAGTGGGGACAGTGGGGATAGTCGGGCAGTGGTTGGGGCCGTGGAGAAAGTGGGGAGAGTGGAACCGTGGTGGGAACAGTGGTGGGGACAGTGGGGACAGTGCGACAGTGGTGGGGGCACTGGTGGGGACAGTAGGGACGGTGGTGGAACCAGTGGGGACAGTGGTGGTGAGGACAGTGGTGCTGGGAACATCAGTGGGGGATGTGATGCGGACGGTGGTAGGGACCGGGAGTTGTCTGCTGGCGGTGAGGGGGGGGGAGGGGTTCGAACCGGTAGTGACCCCCCCTCCGGTTTTCGAGGGGGGGGGTCGAACCGGTAGTGACCCCCACGGGCTTTCGAGGGGGAGGGGGGGGGGTTAGGGGAGGGGGGGGTTTTGCCAAGCAGGGGGGGGAGGGGTTCAGCAGGGGGGGATGGGATTTTCGGAGGGGGGGGAAACCCCAGGGTTCCCGAGGAAGAGGGGGGGGATTTTCCACAGTAGAGCGGCGGTGGATCATGTTTTCTTTCACGTTGTCAAGCCAGAACGACTGCTGACCACGTGGCAAATTTGCAGCGCGGTGTGCGTTTCTCGCGGCCAGAAGGCTCGCACCTGCGCTGGGATTCCGGTCGCGCACTGATGCCTTCGCGCGCGCTTCCGCTGCAGGTGGAACGAGAGGTGCGCGTGCGCGCGACGCTGGCATGCGCGCGGAGGGTATGACGCGCGCGCGGAATAAAGTAACGACTAATTACGAACAGCGCGTAGTCCGCCCGCGTTGCGCCCGGCGCGAAACCAACGTCAACGCGAGAGCCATGTTTCCAGGCGGGCGGTGGTGTCAGAGTTGAATCGCACGTCGCCCAGCGCAGGTCGGAATTTTTCAGTTGAGAGTTGCGAGGATAAGCTCAATGCGTTTTGTAAAACGATTTGTCGGTGGATCCTGTCCTAGAAGTAATGAAGAGGTGGCCCATGAACGGCCCCAGTGCGAGCGCCCAGATCCGTCCATCAACGCACGGGGCCTATTCGAGGCGCCCGCGGGCGTCCACTGAGCGAAAACGCAGACATGCCGTTGATTGTTGAAGAAAGGACCTTGGCACCGTCAACTGCAAGCCAGATTTGTGGAACATATGAAGCACACATCAAGACACGCAGTTTTCGAGCCATGGTTTTTTGCCAGGCTACCAAAACGGGGCAATCACGCCTCAAATTGAAACCTCCCGGGAGCGGGGGGTGGGGCCTAGGGAGAGGGGGGCACAGCCCATTGGAAGGCCAGCTGAAACTCACGCGGCGCCCCCATCCCCCACCCGCCTTGCCATCACGCGTTCCCTTCCCTCTCCCCCTTCCATTGCCCGTACGTCTGCGCCTAGGCATCCTCCCTCTCCTGCCTCCTGATGCCTCCCCCCCTCCTCCGCCTTTCTTTTCTCTTCCTCCTGCCCTCATCCCCCTCGTCGTCCCCGTCTGCAGGATCAGCCCGCTGGGCCTGCATCGTGCGCACCACTCTTCATGTCCCGGTCGTGCAAGCATTTGTTCGCCCTGCCCTCATTCTCACCCCCTACACAAACATTGTGATGAGTAAAGATGTGTGAGGCGGCACGCAATCAGGTGCTGCTTACTAACGGGAGACCCCCTTTTCTGCTGTTCGTGTTGGCTTCGTTCCCATCGGGTCCGAACCTTATTCATTCCCCCATGTTTTGATTTTCTTGATCACATTTTTTCTTGTTGCTCAACTACCAGGCCGACGAACGTACCATCATCGAAAGTACGTGTTCACCTGCCTTTGATCAGCATCTGCCATTCCACGGAGGGTTCTGCGGAGCATTGAGCTTCATGGATTTTCCGAGATGCGTCGACGCGGCGAGGACACCAACAATTCACGTTTTTTGAACACCGAGGCGTCCCGTTTCCCTGCCATATTTGCAAATGCGGTGGGGTCCGATATTATCGTATGACCACCCGCGACGGGAGTCCTGCCCGCGAGGTCCGGGGGCGCATGCTGTGAAAAGCGCCCGACGCCAGAGGTCAGGGTGGTCCGCGTGGCCCACCCGCCGGGTGTTGTTCCTCGCAGCACGTGCTCTTCCTGCCTTCTCCCTTTGATATTGCGGCTGCTGCTACTGGTCGTTCTCCTGGTGCTGGTGGCGATGATGCTGCTGTGCTCTTTTTCTGCCACACCTCATGCTGCTGCTGCCCCTGCCGTCCTCCGCCTTCCCCCACCTCTCCCACGGATCACATTCTTTCACTTCTTCCCTTCTTCGGTTCCGTTTGTTCCTGCTTCTCTCCTCCTATTGCCTCCTCCTCCTCCTCATCATCATCACCATCATCAGCGCCTCCCCCTTCCTCTTCCTCCTGTTTTTCTCCTGCTTCCCCCGTCCTTCTCCTCCTCCTCTTCCTCAGGCTCCCTCTTCCTCCTGCTACCTCCTTGTTCTCAAGCTTTGTCCTCCTCCCCCCTCTCGTGTCCCTCCTCCTCCTCCTCCTCCTCCTCCGCCCTCTCCTCTTCCGCCCTCTCCTCTTCCGCCCTCCTCCTCCTCCTTTCCCCATCTTCCCGCAGCAGGGGACCAAGAGGCCCTTCGAGTGGGTCCGCGACCCGCTGGAAGAGGCCAGCTCGCCCGCCGCGCTGGCCCCCGCAGGGTCTCTGACCCTGGGCTCTGGCGCGGGCTCCCTCTTCCCCCTCCCCGCCTTCCTTTCGCTCTCTCGCCCTTTCGCCCTCCCACTTTCTTCCTCCTCGAGTCATATCTCCCTCTCTCTCTTCCTTGCCCTCCCCTCTTCATCTCCTTTCCCCCTCCCTCTCCCCCTCCTCTCTCTCTCTCGCCACTGGCCGAAGGCGTAGGGGCAGGTCCATGCAGTGGACCGCTCGCCGTGCACAGTTTCGGCTCTCCAGCCTGAGTCTAGCTAAGAAGTGTGAGCGTGCTCGCATGGGGAGAAGGATGGGACAGATGAGGATGGGGGTGATGGGGGAAGGTGCGGGGGAAGCATAGGACTCGGAAGAGGAGGAGTGGATCTGTTCATTTCTCCGCGGTGGGGCTCCGCCGGTTTATGAGGCAAGACCTCCAGCAACTGCTACGGCTGAGCTGTGGCCAGTCCTAAATCGACTAGAAAGCCGAGTTTGCAAGATGGTGTAGGCAATCAGATCTGGCATCCCTGAGCACGCCAGACTATGTCGTCGAGAGGCCCTCGCTGGCCCGCCCATGCCTTGTTTGGTGCGTGCAGAGTAGGTTACTTGCGATGCGGGTCGGGCAAATTTTCTGTCGCCTTCCCGATGCGCTGCGCGCCTCTCCTCACAATGCACGGCCACACTGGCTTGTAGGGCGTCTTAGGGTACCATGTCGCAGCGGCTGCGCGCGAGTGCGAGAAGCATGCTGGCCAGGAGGGCCGTCAGGAGGCTCGTGGCAGTCGCCGGTTGAGGATATGTCGAGTCCTTGAGGGACTCTCGGGCAGTCCTTCTCCACCGCCCGTGCCTTCTGCCAGCTCCTTTCGTGGAGCCATTGGAGGACGAGGCGCGGCACCCGGACTGGGTCACAAGGGTCGTCCTCTTCTCAACGGTTTCTTTGCAGGGCCCTGAACCCGTGCTCGCTGTGTTGTCGGAGACGCACACAGTGACTCACTTTTGGAGGCGCCTGTGCCATGAAGTGTCGAGCTAACGCGAGGGCGCGCTGGTGGATTGCGTGTTCCCCCAGCTGTTGGGAAGACCAATGGGGGAATACTGGGGCGGGGCCCTCTGCCCGAGGATTGAAGTGGGCGTGTAGGCTATCAGGTAAAGTCGGATAGGTAGTTGGAGCTCCGTTCCGACCACGGGAAGATAGCCATCGGGCTTAGGAAAAGTACATATTGTCGAGTTGCAAGGATGGTGGTGATAGTCGCGGTGATGATGATGTTGATGATGTTGATGCTGCTGATAGTGGTGATAGTGGTGATGCTGATGATGATACGGACGACGAACTTGATGATGGTGATGATGCTGCTGATGATGATGCTGATGATGCTGATGATGATGGTGGTGGTGGTGGGGATGATGTTGATGACGATGAGGATGATGATGCTGATAATGATGATGATGCTGATGATGATGCTGATGATGTTGTCAATGGGTGATGTTAGGGATAGTGGTGGTGGTGGAGAGGATGATTGTGATGGTGGTGGTGGTCACTGCATAAGGGAAGCATGTCCCGAGCAGAGTAGCACGCACCAAGAAGACGACGACGACACTGACAACGACGACGGATACAAGGCAAACATCGCTGGTGTGGATGATGATGACGACGGTGGTGATGCTGCTCCTGCTGATGATGATGATGATGAGGATGAGGATGATGATGATGATGACGGGGTGATGGTGGCGGTGATGATGACGATGATGATGTTGGTGATGCTGTTGGTGCTGGTGACGATGACGGTGATGATGTCGGTGACAAAGGCGACGACGATGGCAACGACGATGGTGACGGCGATGAGCTTGATGTTGTTGATGATGGCGATTATGATGGTAATGGTGATGGTGTTGTTTATGATGTTAATGTCGATGCCGATGCGGGTGTTGCTTCAGCTGATGATGACGATGCGGATGCGATGACGGTGATGGGGATGTTGATTCTGGTGATGTTGGCGGCGACGGCGATGATGATGATGATGTTCATGTTTTTGTTGGCGCTGTTGCTGGTGTTGTTGTTGTTGGTAGTGACTGTGGTGGTGGTGATATTGATGACGACGATTCTTATGATGAGACGGCCGAGGAGTATCATGGGGTGGAGGATGAGAAGGCGATGGGCGATGAATTGGAGGATGATGAGACTAATGATGGTGTTTTGATGGTGGTGATAATGATGATGATAATATCGGTAGCAACGACGATGACGATGATGCCAATGACTATGATTATGATGATGATCGCGATGATGATAATGATGATGATGATGATGCTCGCGATGATGCTGATGCTGATGATGATTATGATGATGGTGATGCTGATGCTGATGATGATGATGGTGGTGGTGATGATGTTGAGGGTACCAGGCGTGGACCTAAACGGTTTTCGTGGGCCTTTTTCGTTTCGAGTTCGTTTTGCGGTAAAGGCGGATTGACGACAAAACGAGGGACAACGATAATAATACGAAAGCAAAAAACACCGTTTACGTTCAGCCCTGGAGGGCACTGATGGTGGTGAGTAGGATGATGATGCCGATGATGATGGTGGTGGTAATGATGATGATGATGATGTTAATGATGATGATGATGATGATTGTGGTGATTGTGATGCTGTTGATGCTGATGATGAGCATGATGTCGATGATGCTGATGATGGAAAAGATGACGATGTTGATGATGATGATGCGGATGATGGTGATGGTGATGGTGAGGATGCTGATGATGCTGACGAAGTCCATGATGATGTTGATGGTGGTGGTGATGGTTGTGATGATGATGATGATGTTGATGATGATACTGATGATGATGATGATGATGATGATGATGATGATGATGATGATGGCGACGACGATGATGTTGATAATGATGGTCTTGGCGGTGATGATGATCATGATGGCGATGATGATGGTTCTGATGATGGTGATGATGATGATGATGATGATGGTGCTGATGCTGCTGCTTTTGATGATGATGCTGATGATGATGATGGCAGTGGTTGTGGTGATGATGGTGGTGGTGGTGCTGATGATCGTGATGAAGAGGATGGTGAAAAAGGTGATTATGATGACGGTGCTGATGCTGATGCCGATGATGATGCTGATACTGATCATTATGACGATGATGTTGATGATGATGACAATGTTGAGTATTGTGATGCTGATGACGATCATGATGATGCTGATTATTATTATGATAATTATGATGATGACGGTGATGATGCGGAGGAGGAGGAGAAGGAGGAGGAGGAGGAGGAGGTGGAGGCGGAGCAGCAGGAGCAGCAGGAGGAGGTGAGGATGACAATCCCGCACCGAGGCCTCCCCCGGCGTCGCCTCGGAGGGGGACCCTGCGCTGCCCTCGCGCTCTTCGCGGGAGCCAGGTGCGGGCCCGGGGCCGCGGCGGGTTTCGCCAGCCAGGGTGGAGGGATGACCTTGGGTCCGAGCAGGCCGGGTCGGAGGATCGCGCGTCATCGCCGATGCGTCGACGATGCGGAGCGATCCGGACAACGATTTTCTGAGTCCCGACGTCGCATCGCCGCAGCGTCGCCGATGCGTTGCGATCCTCCGACCCCACGTGCGTGCTCCAGTCAAATTCGAGGCGGTCTTCAGGGAAGGACTCGGTAGGGAGAGATGAATCCAGGAGGGAGGGGTGATCCAGGAGAGGGGGGAAGACCCAGGCTGGGGGAAACATCCACGGGGGTTCCATGAGGCAACGGGGGCAGATGCGATCCAGGATGGACGGAGAGATACACGAGGGACAGCAGGGGGGATCCAGGAGCGGCCGGGCGGCTGACAGTCAGGGCGGGCTGGGGGAAGTAGAACAGGCAGGGTGGAGGTTGAGAGAGGAGGGGAGGGGAGGGGAGGGAGGCAGTGAGCCTAGAGGGAGAGAAGGGGCGGGAGGGCAGGACTGGAGGGCAGGGCATGCCTTTGCGAGCTCGGCTGAAGATCCCTTCCCCTGGTGAGGCATCATGCAGCCTGGGTGCTGGTCAGGGTCTTTTTCGATTGGTCCTGCAATCAAGGAATTCTCGACTGGCCTTCGCCCCGTCCTGCCACCGTGCCTGGGTTGTGGGTCGTAGTCTTCTAGGGCGCTCGTAGGGATGTCATGGGAGGTTTCTTTGGGACTCGTGGAGGCAGGTTTGGGGCCTCTTGGAGGCCGATTTGGGGCCTCCTGGGGCGCTTTGGGAGGCCGTCCGCGGGCTCATGGAGCCTCTTCGGGGCCTCCTGGGGCCTCCTGGGGGCATCTTGGGACGGAAGGCTGGAATTGGAGGTTCGGGCACCTAACATTTCATCCCTGTTAGGGGCCTTCTTGGGGCTCTCTCTCTTGGGCTGTCTTGGGCGCGCCTTGGGCCGTGCTGGAGCCCTCTTTGGGCCATCTTGGGGCCCTCTTGGGGGCTTTTGGGGCCGCCATGGGGCGTTCTTGGGGGCCTCTTGGGACGTCTTGGAGCTTCGGAAGCTCGAAACATCGAGAGCGTCGAGAACGCAAAACATACCGACCAACCGAAGGGGCACCAATGATCTTGGCCTCTCGTGGCCCTCTTGGGAAGGCTCACGCCAAGGGAACCTTATTGGTGGTTGCAGAGCATTCTCTGTCCGCTGCCGTTTCGGCTCGCCTGCCCAGGGCATGCGCGCACCGTAAACCATAGAGGGGGAGCATCATACTCCATCCTTCCTGCAACATCATGCACTTTGTACCTCTTGCGTGATGCTCGACCGACGGCAAGGATTTTCCCGACCTTGGAGCGGAGCTGGCTTTCCTACTCTAAAGCGAGCTGGGGGACGTAAGGAGTGGAAGCGAGCGTGCGCCCGCGGCCGCCTTAGCTCAAAGCGGCCGGCCGCCTAGATTTGACTGTACCTCAACGCGAGGCACACTATCGTTATCGATACTAAAAGGCATCCCCTTTTACTTGATATGGCATCCCCTCTTGCATTGGGACTATCGCTACTACGATACAGCCGAGCTGGAGCTTGGCTTCGCCTGAGGCGAAGCTGTTAGCGGGGCCTCCCAGCCCCCTTCAAACTTGGTAGCGGATTGGCCTATGGTGGTGAGCTCTATCTCTACTCCTCACCATCCACGGCACTATCTCGTGGACTACAGTTCCGGTGGAACATCAGGGTGCAGTGGCATTGTGCGGAGGAGTGTACATAGATACGCAGTACCTCAAGGAAACTTGCAGCGACACCTCTGCTCCAGCGGAGGTATCCTACTCATATTCTACATCCCTGCGCTATTACACGTCCTGAAGTCCACCCACCGACTCCACTTGTTTTTTTTCTTCGATGATGTAATGCATGGAAACATGCGCTACGATATATTGCCACCTCCGACCCCTCGCAGACTTACGACGACAAAACACGAGTCCCCCCCGACTACACCCGACTACGACCTACAAGGCCATTGGATTGGGATTTCTATATTTGGGCTCATATGGGTCGCTCTTGGATGTGCGGTGGGACATATGCGGTGCGGAGACGACACTAGGACGACCGGCCCCCATTGGGATCCTTCCGGCCAGGTACCATTTCGCGAGTTTGTCCGCGATGTACACGCCTGGATCAACGTGACCACAGGCAACATGACGCCCTCCCAACAGGCCGCCGCACTCCAGCGCGGTTTCGGAGGGCTCGCACGGACCATAGCCATGAGAGTTTCCCCAGCAGTCGTCGATTTCGGTGTCAATATAGGTGGTCGCCACACCGACGGCGTCACCAACATTATGTTCTTCTTAAGTACGAAGTTCGAGAACCCAGAAGAGGAACGCCAACTCAACTCTGGCACGGCGCTCATTGACTTTCGTGTCCATGCGGGAGAAAGAACCGACCAGCCGTTAGCACGGTTCGAGATAGCCCGCTACGAAGCAGAAGCCGCCGATTTCAACACCCGCAATTTCCAGATATTAGCAGTAATATTATTCAGAGGTCTGGGAGTGGGGACGTCGCGGACACAGCAGCTCCTGCAGCCTCTGAACCACCATATGCCGAGGGACCAAACACAATTTAATGCTCTCCTCGAACGTATGAGGTCATACGCTCACATAGCTGAGAAAACCCCTGGCAATATCGGTGGAATTTTAAGTCACTGTCACCGAACCGAGACCTTCCATACAGAGGCCAACGCAGGGCAACCTGCTAACAACGCCTGGAACGATGATATGCCGCCGTCTGAGACCTTTCCAATGTTGGCCCAGAATGGCGGCACGGCCTCGGGGTCTCAAGACCCCCGGGCCAGATCTAGGGGACCACCCGACGAGGTCTCCCTTGCACAAGCTATTATCCTGATGGGCTATGCGGGGCAGACCGCCGAGTCCGACCTCGACTCAGGTACCGATGCCGATGCGTCTTCTGATGATGAAACTACCGAGTGGGACTATTCTGATATGCCTACATACCTTATTGAAGAGCAGCGAGCTCAGTGGTTATTTTGGGGGCTATCAAAAACACAAGCGGCGTTGGCGGAGATCCATGAAGAAACCAGTCAGGGTAAGACGCATGGCACGGCGGACGCTCACAGGAAAAAGGGCAAGGGTCGAAGTAACGGCAATGGTAAGCGTCGGCGACTACACGGTAGAGGCATACTAGCATTCCTAGCATCTCTCACTGGGCCCCAGCATGAAGAAATATTTTAGGTGCTGGCAGGAACCGTAGGCATGCGTCAGGTAAAGGTGAAGGACGACGAGGGAATCTAAATGATGCCAGCTGTAAAATTGTGGAGTGCGGCATATGCCACAGCACGCGACATTTCCGACGCAAATGCCCCCAAGGCGATGGAAGGGGCAGGGGTCCTTTAATCCATTTAGCTCAAACGGACTCCGACATACAGCACGCCGACTGGGAGTCGCTTTTGGCCGACCCTGTTGACGGCTCAGCCACAGTCATTCATTTCATGGCTGTCAGGTATTTGTGCGCCAGCATGAACCTCGAGAATTTCGCCGACGAGCTGTCCGAAGAGGTGTTCGCCAGCCACAGCGATATTAACTGCCCAGAGTGGCTGGGTGCACCCATCGCGGGGCAACCTGCATACTGAGTTTGTCGAGAACTTCCACATGCCCGTCGAAGGTGACTCTGCTATGGCGGGGGCGCCCGCGGACTCTGATTCTACCATTCCTGCAGCGGATGAAGAAGTTCATGCCGCGCTTCACCCTCGGGCGATTGGACATCCGACAAACGTGGAATCGATCGGCGATGACGCATGGCGGGGAAGCCCGCGTGACGCTGGCGCCCTATCTGAACGTATTCAATATGAGCTTGGACAGAATGAAGAATTGCAGTGCGCATCTGTTGCGTCAGATCGGTCCGCTAGCAGTCCGAGGCAATCGCCAAGCCGCGTGCCCTTCATAAGGAAAAAGGAATATCACGACGATCCAAGTCGTTCGCCAATGGACGACGTAGATGAACAGGATGACCACATGGCACGCCGCGGTCGAGCTCCTAGTTTTTCGCCGGATCGGGCGCGAGCCCGCTCCTACGGCGCTCGTTCGAGCGGTGTTCAGCGCCCCCATCCTCCTGAGGCGGGGGCTTCAAGTGGCCCGCCAGGGAAGACGCCAAGAGCGCATACTCCCCCAAGAAGAACACCGTGGGTTTGGTCACGTGGAGATGGTCGGGGCAACTGCACTGATCCTAACAGGGTGCCATACGATAAGCGGCTGACGGAAGAGAATTACCTCCTTGCTACAGCTACAGAAATTGAACAAACAAAGGCTATTTAGAAGAGCTTCACACCAACTCATTATCTGTTGCAGTTCAATTGTGATTGGCGCGCCGGGAAACCTGCGGAGTACAAATCAGGAGAAGAGAGCCAACCAGACGTCTATGAAGCTGAAGATGAAGAAATGGCTGAAGAAGTTGATCCTGCGGAAGCCGCCCTTGGCGACGGTGAAGCGAGTGATTCGGGCATCGCGGACGCTGCGTGGCATGCTGATACCCCGATCGACCCCAATCGCGTTGTCACTGGAGACATGGAGCTCTCTCCGGGCAGGCGCGTCGCTGACCGCGGCGAAGGCGCGGGCTGGATCGCGACTTGGATAGCCGAACGACGCAGCGCAGATAAGTGCTTACTTGGCGGGAAGCACGAAGGATATCAACGCGCAGTTCCCAATGGGAACATGGCCCTCAGGCTCCAGGAGGCGAAGGTCTGAATCCTGACCGGGGCCCCAAAAACATCATCGTCGGTTCTCTTCTGGGGCACTGGCAGGGGCCACGGCAGAGGCAGCGCCCGAACCGAAGCCAGAAACGATCGAACTTCCCTCGTCTTCCGATTCTGATTCTGGCTCAATGAGCCCATCTCTCGTCCCTGATCATCCTGAGCTCAAGAAGCAGAAGAAGAAGCGTAATGGCCCAGACGATGATCCTAATCCTGGGGGCATCAAGAGATATGCGGGGCAAC